GTTGTATGTCCTGGTACTGGGCAGTTCTTGGGTGCAACCTGAAGACTCATGGCAACCAACCCACTTGATCAATCCACTCAGAAAACGAACACCAAGCTTATGCTGTTAAGGATGAAAGCAAGCATTGGTTAGTGACACAACCTGAAAAAACTAAGACTAGATAACCTGGGTTTAAAAAACCCCGAAACAATGCAGCCCCTTCCTTACTTGGACCTGCTCACTTTTCAGGTACGAAATGCCCTTCCTACCTTCAACCCAACCATGGGAGAAGCCACAGAGCTGTCATGGAGCACATGGCATCGGTACTCTGGGAGGCAGGGAAAGCGCTGACAGTGTGGGGTGGTAAGGGTGTTTCTGCACCACAAGGTGAGGCAAATCCGCAGTCCTGGCAGCAGCAGCTTCCCATTCACCACTTCACACACTCCGTGCCAGAGGTCCAGCATGCCCTCCTGACATCCACCACACTCCTGCACTCTCTCTGCTTGACTCCACAAGTGTCAATCAATGTATTTTGTTTGCTTATGGGTCTCCTGCTCACAGTGTATCTATCATGCAGATGGCATCATACAAAGAACATTTCAGTGACAAAATACCCTGAGTATTTTACAGTTAAGAAGGGGGATATAAATGGAACTACATATTACATGCTGATCCAAAACAGAAATTGAAACTCTTACCAAGCTTTGGATCAGATCTTCTAACCACTTCTGTGATTACAGTTACAGACCACTGTGAAGAGAGCAAGCTATTAAAAACAAAATTGGCTTAGCAGGGAAACCCCTAGCATTCCCCTCTCTCCCACTGTATGTTTCACCACTGCTATATAATCCCTGAAAATTAAGAAGGAACAAGCAAAATACCTATGCCTTCACAGCACTGCTATCTACAGACAACTACCAAAGCTTAACATAAACACCAGCATACAGACTAAAGATAACATGGGTTTCAAACCCTTCTTGTAGTGTGACAACCACACATCTTTCACCAGGAAGTACACATGCCCCTTCTTTTTCCTAGAACCCAACCCAAGAGCAAACATTTATTATGTGTTTGTACATAGACATTTAAATTTAGCTTCTGCTGTTTACCTGCTTAGTATTATTGGTTGTTCAAGACTTCAGTTCCAACTCTACCTAGAGGCCATGCACAGCACTGCACCTATGTGACTAGGAGAACCGGGCTGAAGGTCTGAGCAGGGAAGAGCAAGGCACAGCAAACACAAATGCTCTTATGATGCAAACTTGCAACTTTAGAATCTCCAAGTGTGAGTGGTTTTATGCTTCTTGCACACAACAGCTTTTGTAACAATCACTGAGATTTCTGAGCTGGGGCATGACCCTGTGGTGAGGCACATGAGGCTGTGAGTCAGGAGCTCTGGCGGATGTTCCTCAGCCTCCCAAGTGATTCACTTTGAGCCAGAGCCCATTGCTGCTGGAAACAATAGCAAACAACCCACTATTCCTGTTTCAGTGATCAAGTTGTAGACGATCACATGTAATTCTAAGTTTCAGTTTTACTCTCTGTGAGGAGGGTACAAACCCTCATGTGGTTATTAGAATTTCTGCTGCACTTCAAGATCCTTAAAGTGCTGTACATATGCAAAGCACAGCAATGCCATTGTGAAAAAAAAAGCACATTGATTATGTATTGCTTCCTTATGTGAAAGGAAGAGGAGCAAGCAGGTCTCAACGGTGGTTTCGGGCATACTTTCATCACTCTGACAATCATTTTACAATCAGGCTCCCAGGGACAACTCAAGAAGTGTGTAACTTCCCACAGGTGGGTCAAGAGAAGCCCTGAGGACACAACTACCCTCTGAAATGGGTTTGTCCGGCAGCAGTTAAAGCATGTGGACTAGTGATTATTTTGGAAACCAACATTCTGAAGTCTCAGTCTGTATTGACAGAGCCAAGCAGAGCTCTGATTTCTGCATCATCAGACTTGAAAGCACCTCATTTCTAAAACACACTAATGATGCTGGTAGGACTTCAGAGACACAAATCAATCACAGCAATTCATATAATTCTAAAATAGGTAGATTAGCTGAATCCACCAGGAGCTAGATCAGACAAACATTCATCCCTCCATGCACACTCCACTCACAGCACAGGACAGAGGTTATTCATGCTTACAAGTAGCCTCTATAATGAACACACATTGACTTATTCACTTATTAGGCAATAGGAGTATTCCAAGCTCAATTCACTAAAATCTCCATAGCTGAAAGCTGTCTTATCCCCTGAAGAAATGCCCCATGTAGTCAATTATTTAAAAACACTGCCTCTCCTATGATCACAGTGGGGTTCTAACATTCCAAACTCAGTATCAATATTGAGTTTCATTCAAAATAATTTTATCAATTGTCTGGATTGTTTTGGGGTTTTTTGTTTGTTTGTTGTTGGTTTGTTTTTTTGTTTGGTTTTTTTTTTTTTTTTAACATGCATTAAACATACACTGAGCTCATAATTTAACAGATGTTTTTGTTACTATTATAATCTAATCTTTTCATGCAGGCTGTTTTAGTAATTTTACCACAAGAAGATAATAAAAAGCCATTTTCTCCCCTGCAGAGCTTACCTTTGGCTGACTCAGCTGAGCAGCTGCAGTTTCCTTTACTTGCTTTGAAATTACTGAATCCCAGTTGGGCAAGGTATTTCTGCTACTGAGAAACAAGTGGTTTTGGAGAAAATGCCAGAGGCAATCGATCAGATAAAGTCTCTACCTTGCTCCAGTTGCATTAAAAGCTGGTAATTTGGGCTGCAGCTTTTTCAACTGGTCCCACAAATGTTTTGCTTTTACAGCCCAGAAAAAAGAGCTCCTGAGCCCACCTATCAAACAGTTCTTAAGATTCCTGGTTAAACTCTTGAGTTTGTATCTCAGTAAGGCATTCAAACAAGAATGTAACGTCTTCCAAAAAAAAGAAAGAAACAAACAAAATACCAATAGAAAGTCAGCTCTCAAGCGCAACTGCTTAATACTGACTGCACATCCACTGAGCACCTCAAGGCTTCCCTTGCCTCATGTAAGGCAGTTGCCTAAACACACCTCCACTTCTGACTGAAGAGGGAGAAGGATATTAAAGTTCAAATCCCAAGCTGTTTGGCTACCCAATGCTATGTTTGGGTGACATGACTATTGCCCAGGTGAGCATATTGAGAAATAACAAGAAAAATGAATCCAAGTAGAAAAATAAATCAAAGTATAAAATAAATCCCATCTCAGTGATAAAAACTATGATTAGGATAACACAAGAGCAAATTCAGAATAATTTTAGTACATAAGGAAATGTCGTGGTTTAACCTCAGCACCACACAGCCACTTGCTCACTTCCCCCCTGCAATGGGATGAGGGAGAGAATCAGAAGAGTAGGAGTGAGAAAACTCATGGGTTGCGATAGAGACCATTTAATAGGTAAAGCAAAAGCCCCACACACAAGCAAAGCAAAACAAGGAATTCATTCATCCCTTCCCACAGGCAGGCAGGTGCTCAGCCATCTCCAGGACAGCTGGGCTCCGTCATGCGTAATGGTGACTTGGGAAGACAAATGCCATCATTCCAAACGTCCCCTCCTTCTTCTTCTCCCAGCTCTATATGCTGAGCATGACATCCTATGGTCTGGGATATCCCTTGGGTCAGTTGGGGTCAGCTGTCCTGGCTGTGTCTCCTTACAACCTGTTATGCACCTCCAGCCTCCTCATGGGTGGGGTGGGGTGAGGAATTGAAAAGGCCTTGACCCTGTGTGAGCACTGCTGAGCAATAAACATACCTGCATTATCAACACTGTTTTCAGCACCAAACCAAAACATAGCCCCATACCAGCTACTATGAAGAAAATTAACTCTCTCCCAGCCAAAACCAGCACAGGAAAAAAAAAAACAGTTTAAGAGTAATAATCTATGGCTGGTTAGATCTGAATTATTCTGGAAGCTAAAACAAACTTTGACATATTTAGTTCAGTACTTTGTATATTTACAGTTAGCTTTATGTAAAAAAGCATTTTGTTGGGGATTGATTTCTAAACTGGGCAGCTCTCCCACAAGGACAGAAGAGACTCTGCACTAAAGCCCTAGCAATAACCTGGAAATCACTGTTCAGCCCAGCAGCCTATCCTCTGTGCTGAGCTCTATTCTCCCAAGTTTTCAGAAGTCTGTTGATGGTCCAATGGATCTCTCTGTAACCCTCCTTCATACACTGTCAGGCAGCCATATAGTGCAATTAACTCAGGCCACGTCCTCATTCATCTGCTCATTTGACACAATGTATGAAGAAATCAGGCCTTGTGGAAACTCTCGTGACTGCCCCAAGCACTTTAGCTCTAAGTGCATCACAAGCTTCCCAACCCACATTATTATTACCAAAGAAAACGAAAACCTGGAAAGAAAAACACATTTCTAATACCTTGACAGGCCCATCAGTTCCCATTAAAAATAGAAAAGCTATTACAGAAAGCGAGCAAGCACCTGAATTATAGATCAGCACAGGCCTGGGTACCTGGGGGTTGTTTCACAGCGCTGGGCAAGGACCAGAGCTCAGCTCACCCACACCTCCGGCCCGGGGCACCCACAGCGGGCGCCGAATGACGCCCACGGCCTCCGCCCACCCGCCCCACCGCCCTCACGGCAGCGACGGGCGAACCGCGGGCACAGCAAGGGACGCCCCGAGGGACACCAGCCGCAGCGCTGACTGGCTGTGGGCTGAGAGGCGGCGGTGGCCGCCGCACAGGCCCGGGCCTGCCCGCTCACACAGGCGGAGCGGCGGCGGAGCGGCCGCGGGCGCCGCCAGGAACGGCGAACGACTGGCCGGCGCGAGGCGTAGCGACCGCTCGCTCGCTCGCTCGCGCCCGCCCTTCCGCGCCCCGCGGAACGCAGGCCGCCCTCGGCCACCCCCTGGCGGCACGCCGAGCCCGCGCAGCGCTCATTGGTCGCCAGGCGCGCGGGCGGGCGGGGCCGCGACGGGCGGGGCCGGCGGCGGAGCGGGGCCGGGCGGCGGAGCGGGGCCGGGCGGCGGCGGCGGCGGCGGCGGCGGCCGGGACCTGCTGCGGAGGTACGGGGCCCGGCGGGGCTGCGGGGGGGGCGCGGCGCGGCTCAGCTCGGCTCGGCTGGGCAGCGGGCAGGTTATGCGGAGGAGGAGATTTGGAAGAGTCGAGGGTTTCCGCCGGCGGGCCGGGGCGGCGGGGACCGGGGCGGGGGGGGCAGCGGTCTGGCGGCTGCGCCCCGCTGCTCCGCCCGCTGTAGGAGAGAGGGGTGGGGGTGGCCGTGCTCGGCGCGGGGAGGGCTCGGCACTGCGGGGCCCGCCGTGTGCCCTGCGCCCAGCCGCGGGTCTTCTATCACGCGTGTGCCGTGCCCGGCTCACGGGGGAGCCGGTCAGCACCGAATCGCCACCCCCTGCTCTGCAGCGCCTTGGGGTCTGTGCGTGGCATAAGCGCCGGTTAGAGTGACAGTTTGATCTTTTTTTTAGAAGGGACTCTTAAGTTACCAAGTTTGACCGTGTACCAAAGCCACAGAAATCGGTCCCGCTGCAGAGCTGTGAGAGGAATCCCCCACCTTTGGCCGTACATCTCTTCTGAAAGGCACGCGGGCTGTCAGGAGTTGGGAGAGACCCTTGATGATCACCCACCCTCACCAGCAAGCCTGTGCGTGTCATCTGTCATGAGCCCTTGTGCAGCCTGAGCGTGTAATGCGTGGGCTGACCAAATGCCGTTACGTTAGTCCTGTCGCCTCCAGCTCCAATGCCTGAGAGCTCCGTATGGAGGTTTCTTCCTTACGGCCACTTGCTGAGTTGATGCTGAGGAGCAGCAGAGTGGGGAGCAGAAGGTACACATGGAGTACCGCTGCCTGAGGATGTGTGCATGGCCAGAGAGCAGGGGAGAGGAACGGGGCGAGGCTCTTGCTTGAGTTTCAGGTTTTCCTTCCTTCTGTACAAAGCTGCTTGGATGCTTCTGAGCCTGGGTGGCACGTGCAAGAGCCACAGCTGAGCTCAGGCTACCAACTGCTGATTTTGGTAGCACCAGTCTGTCTGAGCTCCTCAAAAGCCACTGTTTAGCTGTCCCATTGCTCTGGCCCTACATGCCACGAGCCCTGGACATGCTGAGCAATAGTAGCGGGACGCTCAGTAGCTCGGTTAGTCAGTATTCCACCAGGACTGGTGCCATTTCTCAATCAAAGGCCTCATGTGACAGTCCCAAAATGTACATGTGCTGAATCAGGTTTCTCATGAGCACTGCTAGGAGGGGGTTGCCAGAGCCTGCCCCCCCTTGATCCCAGTGACCCAGCAGCTACAGCATGCCGGGAAAGAGGGAGAGGCAAGCTCAAATCCCCTCCAGCAGGAAAAGGAGAGGAACTATGTTTTTCTTGCTCTGATGCCTGTTCTGGCAAAAGGTGGCTGCATCCTGGTAACCATGCTTGGTGAGGAAGACGTAATGCCAGCCCTGCTTCCAGGAGGGACTTCACAGCTGAGCAAAGCAGAAAGAGGGAGTAAGGGAGAGCTGCAGAGAGATGAGGCTGAGGGCATTTTCTGCTGGCAGACCTCAGCAGTCAGATCTCAGTGCACTGATACTCATGGACCATCCCTTGCATTGCATGTGGTATGCATTAGGTATGCGGTGGATACCAAGACTGTCAGTTCTGTTTGACAGCAAGAACAAGAATCAGGTAGAACAGCTCATCACATTGCTACGCTTAAGCCTTAGATACATACAGACTTGAAAAACATACCCCAGACTCTCTGACCCAGAAGCTTAAGCTTAATGCCTGGAATGCATCAACATGGCTGTTTATAATCACAAATGAACAAACGCTCATTGTTAAAAGAAGTGGCTTGCTTACTTCTGGAGTGGAGTGCCAAATAGTATTTTTTTTCCTTTGAATACTGGTCGTATTCACAGAGTTATATATTCACTGCATAATATTTGATCACATACAAAACTAACAGATTCTGATGAAAAAAAAAAAAAACCCAAACCCAAAACTTTGTCATGCCAAAAACTCCCATGAAAAGTAACATGCCAGTAAAGTACATCTTCCCACCCTCATTTCAACTGTGTAAGCTTCTGCCGCACATGGTGCACATGCATATGTATCATTTGGTAATAAGCACTGGGACCCTGCTGACCTGACAGGAGAAACAGGAAACAAATATTTACCAAAATTAATAAAATAGATTAGAATTTATATCCTCATTTTCATATCTCATCACTGTTGTTCCAAAGGGAGAGGCTTTTACATCCCAGCAAAAGAGACCACAATAACACTCAGCAGCCATCTATCTTTACCAAATTCACATAGTACTTCCATTCCAAAGCCAAACTGAGTATTATTTGCAGTGAGTCACAATATTAACATGAAATCAGTGTGTATGTGGCTACTCAAGCTGAGCGCTACCAATCATGGCAGGATTGATCTTTCGTGTGGTGGGATGAGGCGAGTCACTCTCTGCAGATGGCTCTTTCTCCCCAGTCTAACTGAAAAGAGAATGCATAGAGGGATAGAGTTAGTTGTCCAAATCTAAGTGTAGGTGATGTAAATCCCTCCCCTCCTATTTTTCACTGCTTAGTGTGTATATGTGCTGGTCTCCAGTCATTTACGCCCGAGGGGAGGGATGGAAGAAAAGCGCTCAGCTTTTGCTTCCCTGGGAAAACTTTTGGGAAATACCCTGGGCTAGAGCAGCAGCTGACACTTTTAGTCTTATCAGGGAAGATTTTCCCAGAACAGAGTTAGATTTTCTTTGGTTACCTCATGGCATTTTAAGTAGGTAACAAACAGAGGATGGAAGATCCTGCAGGTGGAAGTGTGATGTGTAATGAGGGCTCACTTTCATTTTTTTCCCGTTGCAGGATTGTATCCAGCCCCTGTCCAGCCCTTTCTCCCTTTGCTTCAGGCAGCAAGTCCAGGAGCTTTCTGGCATATGCAGGGGCCCAAATCCATGCAACAGCTAAAGCCTTCTCAGCAGCAGAGCTTGCACTCCTCTTTGAAAATGAGCTTATGTTTCCTGGCTCTTTGCAAGCACGGTCTTTATATCTAACAGAATGTTTTAATTTCCACTGGGATCTAGTACATGGAGATCCCTAGAAATAGAGTTGTGTCAAGTACTATATTTGCGTGAGAGGTTGGACCATGCTTCTAAAATACATAAAATAAAATTAAAAGAAGCAGGCTAAGAGCTGAGGCTCCATAACCCAGAAACATGAGGAAGTGAGACTGGTGGGAGCAGGATTAACTGCTTTGGTTTATCCCAATTGGTGTTGCTGGTGCCAAAAATTTTTGACAGTATTTTGTTGTATTCACAGTCTTTCCACACCAAACTTTCCCAGTCAGATCATTGCAGTTAATTGTAAGTTGTCCTCCACGCTGGAGAACACACACATGAGTGGATATACTTAACTGTCCAACTCCATCAAATCCATTCTGGTGCTTCAAAGCCCTGAAGATACACATCCTCCCAGAAGGAAGTTGGAGGCCTTGGGATCCTCCCTCTAGTCCAAGGGAAACCCCAAAGGAGCCCGCTCTTCAGGAGCACTGGCCACTCACCACGTCTCTCTGAAAGCTATTTCTGCAGGGTAGGTTGTTTCATTTAGGTCTCCTGAGGCTAAACCTGCATCTTAGCTTTGTACCTTTGTACCTTGGCCTGCTCTAGAGAAGAAAATTCTGGGAACTCAGAGGAATTGGCTGGTCTGTCTGCCAGATAGCTCAGGCAAGAGGTAAATGGCACTCAGCAGCCTTAAGCAGCGGCTTTGTGGTTTCCCTTGTAGCATACATAGGTGATTTGGGGTGAAGGGCAAGGGAAGAATGTAAATCATCACTGTCCTGAACACACAGGACCAGGCGTGTTGTCCTCCTCCTCTTTCCTTTCCCCTTCAGCCTCCATGGCTACAGGGACTCTGAACAAGCAGGGTGGGGAAGGTGGTGGAGAGGGGCTCTGCAGCAGCAACTTGATGAACCGCTAACAGCAACCAGGGCGATGCAGATCCCTGTGATCTCAGAGCCGCCTCGTGATAGCTGAGCTACCTTGCTGGAGGAGGAAATGACTCACATTCCCATGTCCGGCCAGCCTCGGGGCAGCACCCTTCAGCACAGAAAGGGCTAGGTGCAATGAAAAACTGAATTTACCATATAGAGTGCTTTGCTTACTACAACTACCAATAGCAAACATTTGCTTTCACTTCAGAGTTACCCTTATCTGGGTTTTTCTATTAAAAAAAGCCCCAGCAAACTATCAAAACCCCAGATTGTATGAGAAGGAGGGTGCAGAGGTGTGGGAAGGGATGAGCGTGCTGCCTTCAACTTCCCCTTCAGCAGAGATCAGACTATTTTCAGAATGATGTGTCTTGTAAATGGAAGGACTGGTAATCCCAGCATAACTGGAGTAATGGAGGAAAGGCTTGGTTTGTGTGGGTTGATTCACATAGTGGGTGATTTTCTTCTTTTTTTGTTTGCCCTTTTTGTCACACAGGGAAGACCAGTGGAAACAAGTGATACTGCACTGTTTTGTTCCTGCCTTAGCTCTGACCCAAAATGTCATTGTGGGATGTGTGTGTCTGTAACTGGTCCTTGAGAAAGCAAGTGTGCAGTCAGAAATGGGAGGCTTGCTCCCAATATCACAGATCTCCTCCCTGAGCCTGCATCTAGCTCAGCATCAGTTAGCTCCCAGCACCACGAGGTGTAGAAGGGAGGGGATCCTGGTACCCTTCAGCTGTCACAGTACGGTAACTCCTGAGCAAGTACGTATACTTGCATAAGAGCAGGTTCAGACCACCCTGCTTCCTTTACTATGGGCACGCAGTTATACTGGTAAAAAGCACAGCTGTAATGGAAGAGCTGGCTTTGCCTTCAAGGGCTTCTATTGCTGCAATCTGAAGTATCCCAGTATAGACTGGGCTGTTGCAAAGTGGGGTCAGAAAATTTGAAAATTTCATCTAAAAAGGTGACAAACTAAAGTGAGGGCTGATAAAGAGATTACTCATAACCTCAGGTTGCATTAGGAGCATCTCACCTGTGCATATTTTCACTACGCAGCCTCACCCCAGTGCAGATGCTTGCAGCTTCACCACTTCTCTCTTTATTTTCCTCTCTTCAGAGTGAGCTGGAGATGGTGGACCATCTTGCAAACACTGAGATCAACAGCCAGCGTATTGCTGCTGTGGAAAACTGCTTTGGGGCTTCCGGACAACCCTTAGCCGTGCCAGGAAGGGTCCTTCTAGGAGAAGGGATTTTAACCAAAGAATGCCGCAAGAAACCAAAGCCTCGCATATTCTTCCTTTTCAACGACATTCTCGTCTACGGCAGCATAGTCATCAATAAAAGGAAGTACAATTCCCAGCACATCATTCCTCTTGAAGATGTCACTTTGGAGACGCTTCCAGACACCTTGCAGATGAAGAACCGCTGGATGATTAAAACTTCCAAGAAGTCCTTTGTGGTTTCCGCGGCCTCCCTCACGGAGAGGAAGGAGTGGATCAGCCATCTGGAGGAGTGCATCAGGCACCTGCTGACGAAGATGGGCCGGCAGCCCTCCACGGAGCACGCAGCCCCTTGGATCCCAGACAAGGCGACGGACATCTGCATGCGCTGCACGCAGACCAAGTTCTCCACGCTCACCCGAAGGCACCACTGCCGCAAATGCGGCTTTGTCGTCTGCGCAGACTGCTCCAGGCAGAGATTCCTGATGCCCCGGCTGTCCCCCAAACCCCTGAGGGTCTGCAACCTGTGCTACAGGGAGCTGCTGGCAGAAAAGAAGAAGGAGGCAGAGGCAGATCACAGGCAGCCAGAGCCGATCCGCTCTGCCATCCCAGGCTATGAACCCTCCAGCGGTGATGACAGCGACAAGTCTGATGATGACAAAGCTGACCAGTGGCCCGCAGACACAGAATTTTATACCTCAGAAGTATCCTGGTCATCTTTCCATAGCTGACCACCTCCTTGGGAGTCAATGGCATTTAGACATTGGGAAGCCAGCTTCTGGCCTCCAATGCATGTCCTTCTCAACGTTTTCTCTGGAGACTGTGCCCAGCAAGGTTGATCTTGGCCCCAGTGTGGGGAGCAGAGATGGGTTTACCCCTCTGAGAATGTGGCTCATACAACATAAACACAGAGAGCAGCATCTCAGTGAAGAAACCTGAGATGGACTGGGGCAGAGACCTGCGGATTGGATCAGCCTTGGTCAAATGAGCTCACCCTTCGGTGCCTTAATCTTCCTGTCTGCAAAACCAGAGCAATACTAACTTCTCTCAAATGCTTTGAGATCAGCTCTTGGGAGAAAACGGAGCAAGAAATCATAGAGTTAAACACGCTTGCCGGCTAGTGGTATGTTCCTCTGTCATGGCAAGGGGCACTCCGGATGCCATTTTCCATGAGCATTGCATCTTCATCAGAGTCTGCACTGCAAGTATGCCAGCCTGAGGGGATGGCCGCTAATCTCTGTATGGTAAGGTTGGCATGGGCTTACATCTCTACACCTGGGTCTCTCAACTTTGGAAACACTAAGGGAATGGTGATCCAAATGCAGAGAGCTCGTCCAAGGCTTGGTGTAAGAAGCCTTAGCAAAGCACTGGAGCATCCAGCTCTTGAATAGAAAGACACCATTTTGGTGGTACTGGTCCAGGAGGGAGGAAGGAGATGGGAAAGGGACAGGTAAAATTATACAGAGGAGTGAAGTAAGGAGGGAGAGACTTACCACAGTTGACTCAACTAAGCGCAGAGCCCCAGATCTCAAAAATAGGCAGTTCCACTGGTTTACCATCAACTTGCTGAACTCAAGCCTATTAGGTGAAAGGATAGCCCAGGGAAGACTTGTTAAAAGTCTTGAAAAATCCAGGAAAATGCCCCAAATTAAGATCCTATGAAGTACAGCATTTCAACTTCCACTTTCCTCCTGAGCAGGAGCCCAAGGCAGTGAATGCTCACTTGTGGGCTCACCTCATGCCTATCAGTCTCAGAAGTCCAAAGTTAAACTCCTTTATGTACTTCCAGGATCGGAGTCCAAGACTTCACAGTTAACTTGAGATCAACCTTAAAGTTCAAATTAAGTTAGAAATAAACTATGTTTATTCAAGTATTCTATTGTAATATAGTGTGGGAGTAAATATACTGAAAATCAGACAACAGCAATTGTTTTGCAGTAGACATTTCTATAAATTCCGTTATTACTTTTAGTATATTTTTGTATTCTGTATTTTATGCTCTGGAAAAGGAACATGGCTGGGAGTACACTGCCAATGTTATAAACTTCTTTCCTTAGCATGACCTGTTCCAAACAGTGTATTGCCTGCCAGACGGCCAGACTTAGGGTTTTTTAAATTTCAGTTAAAAGTAATCATTCCTATTGTCTTTTGTAAACTGCCACTGTTCCAGTGAATTTGTATCATTTGACTGTGTGTGAATAAAGATACGGCCAACAGGAAGAAGCCAGGAAAATATGATAATAAAGCATGTTGTTATTTAACAAGAAACTTAAACAACAGCTGGGATTCAGGCCCGGCTGGCCAGCATGAGTTCTGACTCCTCAGCTCTGGGGTGAATGCTCAGGGTTTCTATTTAGTGCTTGAGGGTAAACACAAGTGAAGAAAAAAAAAAAAAGGCCAAATCTGGTGCTTCCTTTCTGTTTATACCATGTTATCATCTGACTGAATTTTCCCAAGTCTTCTGCAATCCCCTGCAGTCATCAATATTAATTGAAATGGTATTTCTCTGGTGGGGGCACAGTTTAGAGTAGGTCAACAAACCTTATGACCTAAGCAGATGTTTTGGAGTTTTAAAGCAATAAGTACACTAAGTTCTGGTTTTTGCATCCCTCTTCAAGCTTAGTTCATAACTCTGCACGGCAGTGATTGTTTTTATAATGCCTCCCACCCACCAGAACGGTGTACATGCTATGCAAACAGAAAATGACCTTAAAAATAAACGGCCATTAGAACAGTTCACAAGCCAAAAATAGCCTAGCTGCTGAATCTGCATCCATAGCTGGCGTGCCAGTTCCCTGCTCCTGAGGTGAAACTCCCAGTTTCTTTGAAGTAACTGGTTCCAGAAATGTATTCCAGTTTTGACCCTTCTCCTTAGTTCTCATAAAGATCAGCTTTTATTTATCTTATGTGTCCAAAAGTCTTACTGTTATCAGCCCTGAAAGAGCTATGAACTGTTCTTACCCACTAATGAAGGACAGGCACACTTCTAACAAATGCTGCCTGGTTGAGCAAGAGCTTTTCTTAATCACAGCAGGAAAAAAAAAACAAACACAAACAGACTCCACCAAAAACAACCCAGCCCCTTTTTTCTGTGTATGCTGTAGTTGATGGCCTTTCTGTAAATGCACATACCTTCCAGCAACTGGCACATCCCATTTCTCACAGGAGGTGGGTATGGAGAAGAGCCAATGATGGAAAAGATGTGACTCCTGTAAATAATTAAGAATAACGGTGACTCGCATCACATACACAGTGCTATTTTGAAATGTGGTATTTTGGAGCCAAGGAGGTGCACATGAGCATTTGCACTTCCAGAGGCTCCTTACATGCATGCTGCTTGTGTGTGTTACAGTGCCTTCTCCCAGAGCTTTCCCTATTGCTAGCCTGTCACCCGGTGTTGGTCCCAGCTCTGGACCCGTGCTGGCAGCGCCAGGGCATCGCGCCGCAGCTCCTGCCGGGCAGGGACACCCTGACAGGCTGGGGCTGCCACAGGGTCGAGAAGACACCCCAAGCAAGCTAACGACTCTTAAACTGTTAATGCATGTGGTAAAAGGACCCTGCCCAGGAAAATATGGGGAAATTTAAACAAAGCCTCTCACCCCCTTCCTGTAGTTTCATTAGACAATCTGGGGAGCTCAGCACTGCAATTAGAGCCTGGGGCTCCTGGCTTCTGGCCTGCTGAACACATGGGTTTTACATCATGGGTTATGCTGTTACAGTCCAGCCTGGAGTTTTCCAGCCCCGTTTCTATCCCTAGTGCATTAATGGGGCATTTCCTGATGCTTTTTTTTTTTTTCTTTTTTGTGTTAAATAAATCCCTTGCCAGCGATTCACTGAATTTTGCAAACCCATGTGACTAAAAGAGCAGTAGCTTGAATGCTCACTTTGGAAAAATATCTGGAGGCTGGGGATTTTATGGGGTCACAGTCTCCTGAAAGGCTCCCAAAGATGTGTGGGGACCAGTTGCCATAAGGGGTTCCTTGCTCAGCCCCTGCCTAAAGGTGTCACAGCACAAAGGGCACAGCACCCTGCAGCCGTCCCTGCTGCACACCAGCCTTGGCACTACCCGACCCCAAGGTTCGAGCAGAAACTGGAGCCCAGGCACTTCCAGCAAAATGCAAGAATTTTTTGGCCCTCAGCAAAATGGTTCCTTTTCAGCTGAGTACACAAGAGACAGAGGACAGTCCCTCTATCTATCAGGAGCAAGAACAACACTAGTGCACTGAACACAAAAATCAAAACTTGAATGTTAGCATCAGACCTGCTAAAACTGCTGGGGATTCTCCAGCAGAGAGACAGGAAAACAGAGTTAAGATCCATGCAGTGAGGCAATCTTCTGCTCTCCAAAGTCAGTAAAAAGGTGAGGAAGAGGATAGCACTGCTGTAGCAGCCAGTCACAAAAGCCAAAGGAAGGGCAATGAGGATATTTGCTCTGTGAGTAAACTGAAAAGAAAGGATCAAAGAGGTCCAGTGGAGCACATGTGCTCTGCCATCCTAAGGCGCAGCCAAGGCACAGCACCAACGCCAGAGCACGGTGCTGACTCAGCACTTCCCCAGCATTCGGAGGCAGCAGGGTGAAGCAAGCCAGCTTCTCAGTCAGAGTCTTGCTCCCGGTTACTCAACCGCTCCGTTTTTATCCAAGCAAGAACTCTGGCTCTGCCTCAGCCCGCGGCCTCTTCCGACTCACTACTGCTGCAAGGCAGTTCCTCATGTTCCTCAGCCTGGGATTTTGGGTTAGCAGGAGGAACTGAGGAGCACAAGTGGTCCCATCTACTGCTGAGCTTTAACACCATGTGTCTCCAACAAAAAGTACAGGCTTCTGTTTATGACCCTTTCTGCTCCAGGCCATGGATCTTTAAGAAAGGTGTTGGCAGGAAGAATATGTTACACTACCGTCACTTCCATGGTGGACACAAGATGGCAAAACAGCCTCAAGAAACCCTTGCCCAAGACCTGAGCGCTGGAGATGGTCTGCAGAGCACCTGGGGAGGAACGCAGCGCTCCGGGGAAGCACAGGCTGTACCCCATGGTGTAAAGCCCTGAGGGGGCAACATGCAGCCAGGCCTGCTTTATGCTGCATCTCACAGGCAGGAGAAACCCCAGGGTCATGCATGTGTGTGGGAAGGAGCCTCGCTCCTGCCTGCACACATGTTCATAAAACCTCCAACAGACATGGCTGTCGGAGCTGCGGTCCCGAGGCGGGAGCTGGAGGAGATGGGTCAGGCAGGGAAGTGGTATGGAGTGCTGGCAAACACCGAGCGACTCCCTTTCAAGTTCACATTTGACTTCCTGTCTAGTAAGGCCCAGAAATGCGAATAAACCGCAAGCGGGTTTCCTGTAAACCTGTCATTGATAGGTTACTCACTGAGTGATCCTGCATCCCGGCAGTGATCCTGCTGCCGCAGGAAGCAAGGGAACACTGTGCACCATTTAGCTTTGGTTAGCCTCTCCTTTTTTGTCCTAAATACCATGGGGTTTTTGTCCTAAACACCGCAGGGTTTGGTGAAAATCTTAGAAAAAAAAGGTATTTGAGAAGGCAAAAACATTAGCTTAAGTCCAGACAGGCCTCTTTTCCTCTAACAGACAGCAATAAGCAAAAAAGCCACAGGTGGATTTTATCGGAAGAGTTGCAGAGAAGGTTAAACCAGACGCTTAGGGGGTTCATATACAAAGGCTCTTCCAGAGACACCAGAGGGAAAAGCAAGTGTGACACCGAGGCCTTTCAGCAGATTTGTTCCCCCTCCCGTCACAGCCCGCAGGAGGAACCAGGTGCTCTGACACACATCACCCCCCTCGCAGCCGTTAGCCTGCGACCAGCCCCGGGCAGAGCACGGCCCAGGGCGAGCGTGTGTGCTGGGGGAGCCCCTCGGCAGCCCCCTGAGTGCACATCTCCCCGTGTGCGGCACGCCGGCTCCGCGCGGTGCCGGAGCTGCAGAACGAGCCCCGGGCCCGGCAGCACGCGCCGGAGAGCCGTGCTTACGGGAGCGGCCCCTGCAGCCGCCCGCCAGCGGTTTGAACGGCTCAGAGACCGTGGTGCGAGCTGGCAAACCAAACCCCCAGCCAGAGCCACCAGCACCCATGGCACAACTACCTGCTTTCCATCAAAGTCCCTGCCTGGGTGAGTGTTCGCTCAGCAGCAAGCTGCAGGCAAGCCGCCCCGAGCCTCTAGCTCCGGCCAAAATCTGGCCTTGAGCACCCTTGTTTTCTGACCAGCCGCTAAGAGCCAAGCAGCCCAGCAGATATTTACTGTGCTTGGTTTCTTAGTCCAAAGGTCTTCCACACACTCCCGCAAGCCTCTGCCCGCGCTTTGCAGCCCAGCCCTGCTCCCCAGCGGTCCCCAGCACAGGCACCGGGTCCGGCCCAGCGTCTCTGCCTGGGGCCACACAAGCGGGGAGCTGCCCCAGCACCTTCTCCCTGCGCAGCTCCGGCGGCAGGAGGGAGCCTCACGCCGCTTGCAGGGCTGTCTCCTCTGCCAGGAGACGCTGTTCTTCACGGGCTTGGCAGGATCCAGCTGCTCTCCCTGACACACTCCTAACACAGCTGACTTGACTAGATCAGCGGAGGAGCAACGCTGTGCATTAACCCTGCATGGGCCTCTGCAGCGGAGCTTTCTGCTGTGGTTCAGGCAGGGGGGACGCCTTACCCCCCCAGTCTCTGCAGAGCCGTCCCCTGGCCAGAGGAGGACTTGTCCTGCAGGATATCGGGCTGCAGCCGCATTTGTTCATTCTGCTAGTCCCCCATCCAAGGCGGGCACAAGCCCTGCAGGCCAGCAGCAAGCTGAGCAAGGCCCTGCGTCTGGGCTGGCTCCCATCGGGCACTCGCGACATCACATGCTGCAGCCATCTCTTTGCAAGGAAACAGCCATAACAATGAGAGTTTCAACAAAATCCATTGGTGAAGAGCTACAATGCTAATCTGGGGAGGATGACAAATGGAGACTGTCACCCTTTGCTATTTTGAAGTCTTCAGCAGTACTGCTGACATCCCTATAATACAGCAGTTATAGCTGTGTTACCTTCATAAAATAGGGTCTGTAATGCAGCTGGGGTAAGCCCCCAAGCAAGGGCAGCACCTCACAGCATGGCCCTGGAGCCCAAAGACATCCCTTTCTGGAGCAACAGAGCTGCAAGCAGCTTGGCGATCACTAAGCAAGCATCCATTCCTCACACCAGCTGACATCCTCTCTTTGCTCAGGGACATTTAACAGCCAAAGCCCAGCACATGGCTGTGTCACATAAAAGATTCTAAAGGATGTGTTATTTGTTTTAGACCTTACAGATTAGAGACAGACTGGTAAAAATAAGGTTATTCCTCCACACAGCTTCCCCTGTTTCAGCACCCTCACATCTGGGCAATCCATGAAGCACGGGGAGGGGGAGCCCCCAGGATTGCAACTCCTCTTCCCCTTGGGAGATGGGGAAGGGTCCTGTGTTGGAAGCAGGGAGAGAAGCTGGTCATTACCCGAGCAAGAGCAATGCAGCTCCCCAGACACAAGCTTTCACAGGCAGCTCCAGAACCAGATGTAGTGTTAACAGCTGTTTGGAGCAGAGCAGGCTGATCACCTCCAGTACAGCTCTGCTTCCCACACCACAGCATTCAAACTTTCTCCTCCCTGCTCATCCTCCCCCACCAAAATTTGTCTCCCATGTTTGAGAGGTTGGGTTTTCCTGGGGCTGGCTTGCCTAGCTACCCCGGTGGGATGCACGCTGCGATGTGGGGCACGCCGGAGCTGCCTGACACGCCGGGCAGCGGGCACGGCATCCCTCCCAGCTGAGCCAGCCCTGCACAACAGCTACCTCTGCGAGCTGGGGGTTTGCTGGCTGCAGGTTCAGGAAGAATAGCAAGATAAGGGAGGAGAATGAGTCTTTTTTATATAAAAACTTTAAATTAGTTCTGTGAGAACACTTAAACACATGAGGAACTTTTGATCAGCATATGACCCATGTAATCTCTCTCTGTAAAACAACTTTCCCTTCTGCAAAACAAAGCAATAGCATGACAATATCTTAATACAATGTCCACTGTATGTGCGTGTGAATAAAGGAGATTTCCTTCTTTAAAAATAATGTCTAGTGATTTCAATTCTGGTGGCATGGAGACATTTTCTGCTTGGTGCAAGCAATAAAGACATTTGGTTTAATTTTTAAGCTGATATTGCAATTTTGAGAACATGAAATAATGGATTGCAACTGATGGACTGAGAGAGGTTAGCATTTCCTACCTCTGCTTAATCACTTGTTTGTACACAGGAAAGCATTCAGGGAGAAAGGCTCCACTCCTGAGCAGGATAAGAGGCACAAAGGCAAATGGGCAGGTCTTCCCCTACCACAGGAAAATGCTTTTGTACAATATGAAACATGCCATGCTGTCTTCAGAACGCGATTGCTTTGGCACCGCATACATCGTATTTTATTTGCAGTAGCATGTACGTTGGCACAACACTGCAGAAATTGTGTACTGCATGTGTTTGGGATAACATATGGAAGCAGTCTTAATGAACCAGAGCCAGAGTCCACCTACCCCCAAATCATGAGGGACAGTGTGTAGGAGGCACCCACAGCGTGATACTTCTGCTTTTGTCTCTTGTCAGGCCGTGAGAAACTTCCCGAGGCAGTGGCTGATTCTCGGCTGGTGCATTTAACAGTCCTTGCTGCCATCAGCCTGCCTAATCCCTTCCTGAACACATTTTTGTTTTGGCACCTAGAGCATCCTGTGCCAGTTAGCTCCACGATTCTGTTACGCTATGTGAGCAAGCACTTCCCTTCACCTCTGCCAGTTCAGTGGGTGCACCCTGCCTTCTATGCCACAGTATTGTTCCTCCTATTCACCTCTGTGCTGTTCACAGCCATGACCAAAGCTCTCCCCATTAGTGTCTTTTCCAGGTTGAGCACTTTTAAACTAACCCAACTCTCTTTACACAGATGCCCTCCCATACCATGTTATCCTTCCCTGTATCCTTCCCTGCTCTACAATGCCCATTTTGGCTCCAAAAGCACTAACTGAAGTGGATTGAGCAGGCTGCCCAGACTACTCAAGATGAGGCTGCTACCTGGGTTTATCCAGTGACCTAACAACATACACTGCTGCCTTCTAGGTTTCCTTCCCAATCTGTCCTAACCTTCTTGTTGCCTTCTGGCATGCTGCTGAGCACTGAGCTTTTATTACCAGAAATCTGTCCACAGTGACCTCAAGCTCTTTCCTGAGAGAAAACAGGTCACTTGTAGCCCATCAGTGCGACTGTATAATCAGGGTTATCTTTCTTCTGGTGGCATTTACCAATACTAACCAATACTTGCTGTTCTACTGACCACTGCCTCATGTCAATGCTAGCAGCTGATGGCAGGCGTTGCAGTGCTGCAGGCTGGTGGCTTTGCTGCCCAGAAAGGCTTTGAAACCTTGCTGTTAAAGAAAGCACCCGCTCTATTCCTTGGCATGTCAGCACAGCACAGCATGACCTTGTTTTCCTTTGCGATCAGTACACACCAGTACAATACTGTAATTACAACACAGCACCAGCAACACAGAAACTGGAGCTCTTCAGATAAACAGAGCAGTGCCTGGGTTTAACTCAGTGGCACTGGGACTTCATCCTCTGGGCAGGGTTAAGAGGCAGTGGAGGCCCTATGCACGGGTGGAAACTGAGCTGCTGCAAAACACTGGAGTGACTTTGTTAAACACTTGGCATCGTGCTGCTTTGCATGAATATTTGAGGTTCCCAAAGACAAGGCTAACCAAAAGACATGGGGTTGCTTTGAAGATGGCTCAGTTGTTGGGGCGTGAGCAGCCAGTAGTTGGTTAATTGGTTTCCTGATTGCTATCTTCAGACACCATCCAATTTTTGTCTACTGCATAACAATACAGTGCAGTTCAATTATGCACAGTAGAAACACATACCTTTGTCACAAGGATTGGTGGCAGCTTAATTAGTTAGTACCAGCAGAGCACTTTGAAGATGTAAAGCACTACCAGAATGCTTCTTATTATCCTCATTGCTACTTATCACTAGTGGCACAATGTGAAGACTAATCTTCGTCCTATACTCAGGGGGGATGTGCTGCCACCAATGTCAGCAGCCTCAGACCCATGAGGCACAGCTGGGGATGTGAAAGCCCAGAATGAGGATTAGACTCAGTGGCAGCACAGGCTGCTGCAGAGTTAAACTTCAGAGACAGTAAAAAAGCCTCAAGTATGCAGGGAGCTGCCAGGCAATGGGAGGCTGGTTCACTGTGGTTATGGAACAAATATTTTTATACAGAGATTCCTGGAGAGAATGGCTGGGAAAAAGCAAGCAAGCCCCTTTTACAGAAACCAACAAAATCAGATCCAAGAGCCTCCCTCACCAGCACCCCATTTAGCTTTTTCTTACTGACTTTGTTTCTGCATAAGCAATCAATAAACTGCAGTTTGGTCAAAAGTCTGCTGCATGGACTTTAGCTCACTGACAGGCACAGAGGAGGCAGCTGTTACACCAGCAACTGATACTCCAGCAATTATTCTGCTTTAACCCAATATTTGTGGAACCGTTTTGCCCTGTAACTGCTTCCTTGTGTAACTTGAAGCATTTGCTCTTGCATTCCATCTCTTCCAAGCCCAAATATTACATTCAGCTGTTGCGTCTTTTGTATCCTTCACTGCTCTGAAAAGGAGAAAGTCTTTCATTCAGGATTTTGAAAATCTGTTTATGTAGGGCTTAAAATTAACCTGGAAGGGCAAGGCAGAAAGTTAGATAGCCCCTTCATTTTGCCCTTAAAGAGTAGGGATACTTGGAACCAGAAAGGTTTGAGTAAATGCAGATGGCAGTCAAAAGTCAGAGATACCCTGACCTCCATTATTACTAGGCAAAATTGCCTGCTGGAGAGAGGTCAGGAATCTAGAGGAACAATCCATTGGCACAGTTAGCTGGGCAAGAATGAAAAATCATGTTGAAAATCCACACAAATATCAGAACAACAAGCTTACCTACAATTCTGCAACAAGGATAGTCTTTACACCCTGGCCCACACACTTCAGCAAGAGACAAAGACCTCTTCCAACTGAGAGAGAATGCCAGTGCCTGGGAAGGTATAACTGTGTCTAAACACACACCTGCCAGATCTCCCTGACCTCTTTCACCTGGAACCCTCCTATCTCATAGGTGTTCAGGGGCTGATTGGGACTCAGCTCACTGATTCATAAATTATTATGCCATAACATCACAACACAAGGAGCTTCAGAGAGGCAAGGTTAAAAATAAGCCCATTATGTTCTAATTTTATGAAAATTAATATATATTACCATATTTTACTTAATCACTTTTCTAATCTTTAAATCAACCGAACGTTAAGCGCTGCTAAAATTTAAACTTGGATCTCCCTAACACCATTAACACATATTAATTTGCTATTAAATCATAATGGTGTGAGATACTTTCATGTCCAACAGAGGGGAGGAGTGCCCACTTACCATCCACTTCTGCCTTTCACATCACCAAAAATCTGTTTTCAAACTATGAGAAGAACAATCCCTGCCCAGCCCTCTGGGCAGGAAAGTGCACAGAACGCATTAATGGTACCTACAGAAGTAAATGAATCAGTTGTATACGATAGCAACTTCTGAGTTTAAAACTCAACTCCTAGAAACCGCGCCACACACACAGAGATAAATCTTGATTTTGGGGGGAAAATGACATTATCGGGGCAGCGTCACTTGCTTTTGCATCCAAAAGAAGGCACACCTGCACATTTTTCTACTCACGAACTTGCCTGACAAGCGCCTTGAGGCAATCAGTGGGCAACTGGCTGGCACTTCAGCAACACTGCATTTGGAGCTTTGCAGTGTCAACTGCAGCTGGCAAGTCACCCCCCGCCACTGCTGCCAACTGCTGGCTGTCCAGGACAAGGCTGGCTGCTTCTCCCAATTCCAGTGCCCAGTTCTTCAAGAGTTCATTTACTTTAAAGCAAAACACAGACCACTATGATGCTTCTTATGAACACTAACGAAAACAAAGGACCAGATGTTCAGATTCACCCAGGAAACCAATGCTGAAATGACAACCCTAGTCCTAGGGAAAGTGCAAACACAGCAGAGTCAGCTCCCCAGTTTTTAGTGTTTTTAAAAGAGTATTCCTGTCATGCATTCCCATTCTAGGACACCCGGAACTACTAATTGTGTACTGTTGGTTTACCTGTTGCTTTGAATCTTGTTTAGGCATTGGCTTCACTTCTTACAGAAAGGAATGCATAACTCAAGAATTACAAGTGAAATGGGACAAAGATTAAGGTAAGGATGGACATCTTTGAGTTCACAGTACAGTAACGTACTTTCCTGGAACTGTCCTTTCCAGGACTGAAACAGAGAGTAGGTAAAAGTCTTCGAAGTGCTCCGACTACTTTGGCACCTAGATATCATTCACAGAAGAAATTCACAGCACTACCACAAAGAGGATGAAATCTCCTCACTAAAACACAAAGATTTGAAAATTTTAACCAGTGATACATTAGCGTAAGAGAAGCATAATTACCCTCAGGGATTCTGAGTTCTGTCCTAGTGCAGAGTAATTCAATATTACATTACAAGTCAGCGTCACGATAATTCAGTAACCTAATTCTATCTTTACCAAAAAGCAATTTAAAAAAACTAAACTGAAACCAAAATCCAAAATAATACTTAGCTCTGACTACATTCGTACTTAATACTGGTAACTATTAATTGCTGTGTTGAAGAATAACAATTGTCAAAGTGGAATTCATTACACTGTATAACTCCTGTTCTGGAAAGACTTATTGTTGGTACTGTATTTTTATCCCTAGTTCTTTGGACAGGTACTCTGTCAGCAGTATTGTCAACTTCTCCTGGAGGCCAGCATTTCCCATTACAAGAGCTGTGAGCTCATCAATATCAGTCCATTGTAAGCACTCAAGAATAACTATGGATTCAGAATAGAATTTCTGCTTCTCAGCAGGAGACAACTCCCATAAAATCTGAGGGAGTGGCTTGAAGCGTGGAGCGGTCATCCGGGCACCAATCAATCCACCAAATACCCCTCCTAGAAAAGAGAGAGAGATGTTACTCTTTAGCAGTTACTGTTGGAACCTGAAATTCTCTCCACAGCCTTCATCAACAATGTTCCCACCTTTATTAGATATCAGTGCAGAGTTGCATTTGTGACTACTTTAACCGGGTTCATAGACGATGTTCAAAGCACCAAGAAGGATTTTTAGAGCTTTTTACATCCACAGCAATCACAAAGGAGCTCTTTACGCAATCAAAGCTGATAGCTTCAAGCTAGAAATCAGAAACAAAGCAACACTCCTTGATGCAAGAGATACAGAGGAGAGACAACTCTTTTCTGATAGACTCTGGCCTTCCTGTAATTTTCCATACATGGAAAGAAAGCAAAGTGACAGGGCGTAACGAATTCCAGAGACAAAGATCACCACAAAGTGGGTAGCGGGTACTTTTAAAATACAGAAATAAACATCATTGTTGACAAGATCATTGGGAAGACGATCCTGTCCCTCGCTAAGGCTGACTAAGCATACTTGGCCACCCTCGCTTTACACCCCACTTTTCTTTCTTCTGTGCCAGCAGGTGCCAACACCCCCCGACTGCTCCCGCCACCTCCTGTGCTCCTTCGCCCCTGCCTCACCCCCCTCCTCCTCACTCCCCCGCCGCAGCGCCGGAGCAGAGCCTGCTCCAGCGAGCTCAGAGCCTCTCCGTTTGCTCTCGGTTTCGTCCCACGCCTCGGACACTGGTGTACCTCAGCGGATGGAACCAGCGCTCTGCCCACCAAAAGCAAGCGACTGCTTAACAGCTTGCTCCAAGGGTTCCAAAGGTGCCACCAGCTCAAGCTCAGACCTCTGGGTGGCTTCCCGTTCACAGCCCAGGAGTCTGAGTCAGCGAGGTCACCATCACCCTAGAAGGAAACGCTGACACACGCCTTCCTGATGCACAGCTCCTTGCTAGAAACCCGACAGACAACATGGCATCTTGTTAAAGCCCAGTTACGTGGGATCTCAGCGCTGCACGCCCCTTTCCTTCAACCCATACCTACCACAGCCCTCCTAGTCTCTTCACTCAGGCAGTTAACCACACTTCTTGCTCCAACAGAAAAAGACACTTACCTACTATAATTCCAGGTGGACCTGCCATCAGCCCACCAAGTAATGCTGTTGGAATTACCAGCAGTGCTCCTGCACGAGAGCCTTTGACAGCAGCTTTCATCCGCTTCACCTGAGGGAGATCACAGAGCAGTTGCACCACATCATCGACACTGATGGGCATCTTGGCAATTTAAGATCCTGGAAAAAGATGTTTTAAGTTGTCTTGTGATTGTTGCAACAGGGACTAAGCAGCATTCAGAAGACTGCGACTAAAAGCAGAGGCACAGTCGAGGCAGGAAAAAAAAAATCACTTTCACTTTCATTTCTGGGAAATCCACCCCCTGTTGCACACAGCCAAATATCACTGTATCTGCAAATCAAAGCACAGAGTAGACCAGAAACACCTTGGTTTCTGACAAATTCAGAAGACTGAACAAGGACAAGTATCAGCAATGAGAGACTTAAGAAAGTTTCTATCTAAACCTACTGTACATTGCCTTTACCTTGAGTAACTGTCACGTGCATTCAGCGTCCGGCACAGCTCCGGGAAGAAGGCAAAGCAGAGCCTTCCTCTGCGGCAGCTAGGAGATGATAATTCCCCACCCACCAAGAAGCCTTAAGTACTGCAGGATTCAGTTCCTCCCCTCAGTGAGACAGAAACTTGTCCGTAATTGTCCTCCACTTGCTTAGCATGATCTCAGAGTATCCCAACCTCCTGAGTGTTGCTATGAGTTCACTGCTTCTCTTTGGGCTAAATCCAGCAAACTTCTCTTGCAAAGCTCTTCAGCGTGAAGGCTCTGTGGCATGGATGGGACAATTCCAGTTGGAGAGCTGACAACAGAACATGGCTCTCACTGAGACTGGCAGAAATGTCCATCCCCCAGTCAAACTGACTGACTTGCACAATTTCCTAAACCAATCTAAGTGTAATTCATCTGAAAGGCTGTTTTGTGAGCACTGAAACCGGAAGCTGAAGCATCACATTGCTGCAGGGCGTAGAAGCTGGCTGTCCACAGAAAGCTGCCCACGTTACTTATCCACCACGCTGCCAATAAATACCAGGGCATTTCCTTATGAGAACGTGGCCTCTCGAGCAGTGCAAAGGTGATCCGCTACTCCAGGGTTTCTCTGAAAAAATAAAAAACTCTTTTACAACTAGAGAGGCCTCTTTTCCTCTAACAGACAGCAATAAGCAAAAAAGCCACAGGTGGATTTTATCGGAAGAGTTGCAGAGAAGGTTAAACCAGACGCTTAGGGGGTTCATATACAAAGGCTCTTCCAGAGACACCAGAGGGAAAAGCAAGTGTGACACCGAGGCCTTTCAGCAGATTTGTTCCCCCTCCCGTCACAGCCCGCAGGAGGAACCAGGTGCTCTGACACACATCACCCCCCTCGCAGCCGTTAGCCTGCGACCAGCCCCGGGCAGAGCACGGCCCAGGGCGAGCGTGTGTGCTGGGGGAGCCCCTCGGCAGCCCCCTGAGTGCACATCTCCCCGTGTGCGGCACGCCGGCTCCGCGCGGTGCCGGAGCTGCAGAACGAGCCCCGGGCCCGGCAGCACGCGCCGGAGAGCCGTGCTTACGGGAGCGGCCCCTGCAGCCGCCCGCCAGCGGTTTGAACGGCTCAGAGACCGTGGTGCGAGCTGGCAAACCAAACCCCCAGCCAGAGCCACCAGCACCCATGGCACAACTACCTGCTTTCCATCAAAGTCCCTGCCTGGGTGAGTGTTCGCTCAGCAGCAAGCTGCAGGCAAGCCGCCCCGAGCCTCTAGCTCCGGCCAAAATCTGGCCTTGAGCACCCTTGTTTTCTGACCAGCCGCTAAGAGCCAAGCAGCCCAGCAGATATTTACTGTGCTTGGTTTCTTAGTCCAAAGGTCTTCCACACACTCCCGCAAGCCTCTGCCCGCGCTTTGCAGCCCAGCCCTGCTCCCCAGCGGTCCCCAGCACAGGCACCGGGTCCGGCCCAGCGTCTCTGCCTGGGGCCACACAAGCGGGGAGCTGCCCCAGCACCTTCTCCCTGCGCAGCTCCGGCGGCAGGAGGGAGCCTCACGCCGCTTGCAGGGCTGTCTCCTCTGCCAGGAGACGCTGTTCTTCACGGGCTTGGCAGGATCCAGCTGCTCTCCCTGACACACTCCTAACACAGCTGACTTGACTAGATCAGCGGAGGAGCAACGCTGTGCATTAACCCTGCATGGGCCTCTGCAGCGGAGCTTTCTGCTGTGGTTCAGGCAGGGGGGACGCCTTACCCCCCCAGTCTCTGCAGAGCCGTCCCCTGGCCAGAGGAGGACTTGTCCTGCAGGATATCGGGCTGCAGCCGCATTTGTTCATTCTGCTAGTCCCCCATCCAAGGCGGGCACAAGCCCTGCAGGCCAGCAGCAAGCTGAGCAAGGCCCTGCGTCTGGGCTGGCTCCCATCGGGCACTCGCGACATCACATGCTGCAGCCTGGGGAGGTATAGCTGTGGCTAAACACACACCTGCCCCAGCTCCCTGACCTCTATCACTCGGTGCCCTCCTATCTCATCAGTGTTCAGAGGCTGATTCTGGCTCAACTCGCTGATTCTCCAATTCAAAAAACAAACTTCAGCAGAGTATGTATATGACTTCTAGTCTAGTCTGTAGCTGGGCTGGTATTTGTAATCTAACAAATCTAAATTCATTATAGCCATGAATTCATCAGAGTGAAAAAAGAAACTAATACTACTTTTCATGGAAAAAGAAAACTGTGTTACCCATATAGTGAGGCAGCCTTGATAGACTGAATTTAGGGAACAATCTAATTGCCATAAAATGACACATCTCAATCACTAATCTAAGTTTGAATACAGGATTGCTTTTTTTCTTTCTTTTTTTTTTTTTTTTATTTTTAAAATAAAGATATTCCCTCCCGTTGCTAACACAGCATTTAGAATCATGCTTGGATAATAGTTTGAAATCAGGAAGCTTAAAAGAAAAACACATAGAAAAAAGGACAATTTTTGACTAAGAATACACCGTCTGCCAGTGAAAACCTAGCTTAATTCTGTGTCCTGGTTTTGGCTGGGACAGAGTTAACTTTCTTCTTAGTCTGACTCCTGCAATCTGTTCCCTTCCTTAGGCTCTTTTTGCTTGCGATAGAGACCCTCCCACCTCCAGCAATCAGCTTGGAAGTCCTTAAAAGACTAACAAAAAAGGGAGAATAACTGATACGTGAAAACAAACAACTGATTTGTGGCAAGAATTAGGACAAGGAGAAAATACCTAACAGAATAGCTCATTATCATCTGCTGGTTGCAGTAGAGGGAGGCTCTGCTTTGTCATTTTCCTGGAGCTCTGCACGAGCCAAAGGCAATGTACCGTAGGTTTAGATAGAAACTTTCTTAAGTCTCTCATTGCTGATACTTGTCCTTGTTCAGTCTTCTGAATTTGTCAGAAACCCAGATTTTTCTGGTCTAATCTGTGCTTTCATTTGCAGATTCAGTGATATTTGGCTGTGTGCAACAGGGCGTGGATTTCCCAGAAATGAAAGTGAAAATTATTTTTTTTTTTCCTGCCTCGACTGTGCCTCTGTGCTTTTAGTCTCAGTCTTCTGAATGCTGCTTAGTCCCTGTTGCAACAATCACAAGACAACTTAAAACGTCTTTTCCAGGATCTTAAATTGCCAAGATGCCTGTCAATGTTGATGATGTGGTTCAACTGCTCTGCCATATCTCTCAGCTGAAGCGGATGAAAGCTGCTGTCAAAGGCTCTCGTGCAGGAGCACTGCTGGTAATTCCAACAGCATTACTTGGGGGGCTGATGGCAGGTCCACCTGGAATTGCTGTAGGTGAGTGTGGTTTTTCTATTGGAGCAAGAAATGTGGTTAACTGCCTGAGTGAAGAGACTAGGAGGGCTGTGGTAGGTATGGGTTGAAGGAAAGGGGCGTGCAGCGCTGAGATCCCACGTAACTGGGCTTTAACAAGATGCCATGTTGTCTGTCGGGTTTCTAGCAAGGAGCTGTGCATCAGGAAGGCGTGTGTCAGCGTTTCCTTCTAGGGTGATGGTGACCTCGCTGACTCAGACTCCTGGGCAGTGAACGGGAAGCCACCCAGAGGTCTGAGCTTGAGCTGGTGGCACCTTTGGAACCCTTGGAGCAAGCTGTTAAGCAGTCGCTTGCTTTTGGTGGGCAGAGCGCTGGTTCCATCCGCTGAGGTACACCGGTGTCCGAGGCGTGGGACGAAACCGAGAGCAAACGGAGAGGCTCTGAGCTCGCTGGAGCAGGCTCTGCTCCGGCGCTGCGGCGGGGGAGTGAGGAGGAGGGGGGTGAGGCAGGGGCGAAGGAGCACAGGAGGTGGCGGGAGCAGTCGGGGGGTGTTGGCACCTGCTGGCACAGAAGAAAGAAAAGTGGGGTGTAAAGCGAGGGTGGCCAAGTATGCTTAGTCAGCCTTAGCGAGGGACAGGATCGTCTTCCCAATGATCTTGTCAACAATGATGTTTATTTCTGTATTTTAAAAGTACCCGCTACCCACTTTGTGGTGATCTTTGTCTCTGGAATTCGTTACGCCCTGTCACTTTGCTTTCTTTCCATGTATGGAAAATTACAGGAAGGCCAGAGTCTATCAGAAAAGAGTTGTCTCTCCTCTGTATCTCTTGCATCAAGGAGTGTTGCTTTGTTTCTGATTTCTAGCTTGAAGCTATCAGCTTTGATTGCGTAAAGAGCTCCTTTGTGATTGCTGTGGATGTAAAAAGCTCTAAAAATCCTTCTTGGTGCTTTGAACATCGTCTATGAACCCGGTTAAAGTAGTCACAAATGCAACTCTGCACTGATATCTAATAAAGGTGGGAACATTGTTGATGAAGGCTGTGGAGAGAATTTCAGGTTCCAACAGTAACTGCTAAAGAGTAACATCTCTCTCTCTTTTCTAGGAGGAGCATGTGGTGGATTGATTGGTGCCTGGATGACCGCTGGAAAGTTCAAGCCAGTCCCTCAGATTTTATGGGAGTTGTCTCCTGCTGAGAAGAAGAAACTCTATGATAAAGCCATAGTTATTCTGAGGAACATACACTGGACTGATATTGCCCAGCTGACAGATCTTGTAATGAGTAATTATGATTTCCAGCAGAAGCTGTTAACTCTACTGACAAATTATCTCACCAAAGACCTAGGGATGAAGATACAGTACTGACAATAAAGCTTTCCAGAACAGGCTTTTTACAGTGGAATGAGTTTCACTCTGACAATTGTGATTCTTTGACATAGCAATTAATAAATATCAATACTAATTATGAATGAAGGCAGAACTACATATTATTTTGGGTTTGCAGTTTTGCTTCTCTTACACTAATGTATCACTGGTTAAAATTTTCAAATCTTTGTGTTTTAGTGAGGAGATTTCATCCTCTTTGTGGTAGTGCTGTGAATTTCTTCTGTGAATGATATCTAGGTGCCAAAGTAGTCGGAGTCGGAGCACTTTGAAGACTTTTACCTACTCTCTGTTTCAGTCCTGGAAAGGACAGTTCCAGGAAAGTACGTTACTGTACTGTGAACTCAAAGATGTCCATCCTTACCTTAATCTTTGTCCCATTTCACTTGTAATTCTTGAGTTATGCATTCCTTTCTGTAAGAAGTGAAGCCAATGCCTAAACAAGATTCAAAGCAACAGGTAAACCAACAGTACACAATTAGTAGTTCCGGGTGTCCTAGAATGGGAATGCATGACAGGAATACTCTTTTAAAAACACTAAAAACTGGGGAGCTGACTCTGCTGTGTTTGCACTGTCCCTAGGACTAGGGTTGTCATTTCAGCATTGGTTTCCTGGGTGAATCTGAACATCTGGTCCTTTGTTTTCATTAGTGTTCATAAGAAGCATCATAGCGGTCTGTGTTTTGCTTTAAAGTAAATGAACTCTTGAAGAACTGGGCACTGGAATTGGGGGAAGCAGCCAGCCTTGTCCTGGACAGCCAGCAGTTGGCAGCAGTGGCGGGGGGTGACTTGCCAGCGGCAGTTGACACTGCAAAGCTCCAAATGCAGTGTTGCTGAAGTGCCAGCCAGTTGCCCACTGATTGCCTCAAGGCGCTTGTCAGGCAAGTTCGTGAGTAGAAAAATGTGCAGGTGTGCCTTCTTTTGGATGCAAAAGCAAGTGACGCTGCCCCGATAATGTCATTTTCCCCCCAAAATCAAGATTTATCTCTGTGTGTGTGGCACGGTTTCTAGGAGTTGAGTTCTAAACTCAGAAGTTGCTATCGTATACAACTGATTCATTTACTTCTGTAGGTACCGTTAATGCGTTCTGTGCACTTGCCTGCCCAGAGGGCTGGGCAGGGATTGTTCTTCTCATAGTTTGAAAACAGATTTTTGGTGATGTGAAAGGCAGAAGTGGATGTTAAGTGGGCACTCCTCCCCTCTGTTGGACATGAAAGTATCTCACACCATTATGATTTAATAGCAAATTAATATGTGTTAATGGTGTTAGGTAGATCAAAAGTTACATTTTAGCAGCGCTTAATGGTTGATCGATTCAAAGAATAACAAAGTGATTTGGTAAAGTATGTTATTAAAATAGTGACTTGATTACAGATCTGAGAATGACAAGATTCGCACTATCTTACTATAGGGTATTCTGAGTCAAAGTATCTATGTGTATGTATGTCTGTAAAACACAAGGCACATACACACATACAGAGAAAGAGCACAGAAATGGATGTCCTCTGTAATGATACAGGCGTCCACAATCGTAAAGGCAAGTGTGCATAGTTAAACACGCAGATAGGTAAAGGGGTGGATGGAGGAGACTAGCCTATAGTTAAAATTTCTCTCTTCTAGAGTTTGGAGCAAATACTCACAATGCATTGGTTTTTGTCAATGGGTGATAATTGAGATTCAAGAAGTCATTTGACTTCACCCTGGCCTTCCATTGGCTTTGTGGGCAAATGATTTTAATAATTTGAGAAGTCTGAGCCTGAGAGATGTCCCAGCTTGGGGGAGATGCTGCGATCCAGGAGAGCTCAAAGGGTCTTGCTTAGAAGTGCTATTTATAGGGTCCAAGATAATTGGCTTTTGACAGGTACCTTGCCATTTCAGCCCAACTTGCAAGGTGGAATGGTACTTCCTACCAGTTGTGCAAGCCCAGAAATTGCTAGATCTTGGAGTTCTGGTATCGCCCGCTTTGTGCTGCAACCCTAGTCAAATTACATAGCAAGTGAGGTTAATTTAAATATAACTAAGCAATGAAGGACAAAGTGATAATGAACTAACCAATGGTCATTACAGTAAATGTGTACTCATGCCATTTCAAGTGTATAAATACCTTGAAGTTCTTTAGTGTGTTGTGCTAGCTTGGTGGAATTATCACCTAGCACCCATCTCTGGGCAAATGTGGAATAAAACGATGTTTTGGCTCTGTGTGTAAGATTGGCTTTCACACATGGGTAGAGAACCCTGTTTGAGGGACAGAAGCCTAGGGCAGATATCTGCCCCCGAGAACAATGCATCCAAGACCAAAATATTTCCATCTTGTTCACTTCCTGCTGCCTATCTTAGCCTACTCATTCCCACAGAAGCCCACAGAGGACATGGCTACCCATGGCTTCTGCCGCAGCCACCATTGACACAAACGGCAGCAGGGCATGCCCAGGAGGATAGAATTTGATCGTTCTGCAGCATTCAAGAGTATGAACTGTCATAAACTACTAACATACAAACAACAAAACCACTGTGGGGTGCTGTGCTCATTCTCCCTTGGTAGTTACGTATCAGGATCTCCGCAATCTGAAGCAGTTCTCTCCTAATTCTCGTTCATCAAAACTCACTCGAGGTGAACGCTTGAGCTGGATTCTGTTCTTCCTCCCTTACCAGCAGTGCAATGTGTTTCAGAACAAGCTGCAAAACTATTCCTACCACTTTCAATACAGGCACCTGCCACCTTCCAACACGTTCCATGAGCACCAAGCCTGTTAAATAATGATACAGAAAACACAATTCAACTCATTTCTTCCTGGTTCTACTTCAGTCATCTAAAACCCTAGAGAAGAGAAATCTCTTATAATGACTAAGAGTGTTCTCTGGGGCATGGAGCCTAAAGCTTCTTGGGAGCTCAGGGTCAGCATGGTTTAATCTAAGCTAGGCTGGCCCATGCAGAACTCCCAACCACTTGGACCAAACTTCCACCGGTACCCATATGACACAAGGCCCTTTCTTATGACAGTGAATGCTGAAAGATCGTAATTAAAACCAGTTCAGCATTTCTAAGTGTATAATAAAGAGCATTTGAATGGAATTTCTATAAGAAATAGAGGACTAGGGCTCATTAACCTAGGACATACTTCAAGCTCTATTCATGGCTACAACACTGTTATGACTGGTAAAAAAATCAAATCACTACCTCTGTTAGGGCTCCGGTTTATGAATACACATAAAATGGGAGTCATGATATTACTGTCTGAAACCACTCTGAAACGTACAGTGATCTGTTTAAATACTGGATACTATTATAAATTAAGTGAAACCAACAACTTTCCTATGGCCCACTTTACTATGAGATGTCAAGTTCTTTTATGTCTGCGTTCAAACAGCTGACTAAAAGATGACAGTCTCCACGCTACTGGATCATTCCGTTATCTGCTGCTATTAGCAATGTGTTACTTTGGAAAGAGTTAATTTAGATTGTGAAATAACCACGAAATTACAAAAAAAAAAAAAAGTGTCTTCATAAAAACAGTATTTTAAAACGGATAAAGAGGGTATCTGAAATCTTAAAAAGCCACTTGCAGTGCGTGTAACCTCTCAAAGAATCTGAAAAAAGACTGATTTCAGGCTCGGCATTATCAAACTATGACACGGTAGGAGTGCCCACTTAACATCCACTTCTGCCTTTCACATCACCAAAAATCTGTTTTCAAACTATGAGAAGAACAATCCCTGCCCAGCCCTCTGGGCAGGCAAGTGCACAGAACGCATTAACGGTACCTACAGAAGTAAATGAATCAGTTGTATACGATAGCAACTTCTGAGTTTAGAACTCAACTCCTAGAAACCGTGCCACACACACAGAGATAAATCTTGATTTTGGGGGGAAAATGACATTATCGGGGCAGCGTCACTTGCTTTTGCATCCAAAAGAAGGCACACCTGCACATTTTTCTACTCACGAACTTGCCTGACAAGCGCCTTGAGGCAATCAGTGGGCAACTGGCTGGCACTTCAGCAACACTGCATTTGGAGCTTTGCAGTGTCAACTGCCGCTGGCAAGTCACCCCCCGCCACTGCTGCCAACTGCTGGCTGTCCAGGACAAGGCTGGCTGCTTCCCCCAATTCCAGTGCCCAGTTCTTCAAGAGTTCATTTACTTTAAAGCAAAACACAGACCGCTATGATGCTTCTTATGAACACTTTAATGAAAACAAAGGACCAGATGTTCAGATTCACCCAGGAAACCAATGCTGAAATGACAACCCTAGTCCTAGGGACAGTGCAAACACAGCAGAGTCAGCTCCCCAGTTTTTAGTGTTTTTAAAAGAGTATTCCTGTCATGCATTCCCATTCTAGGACACCCGGAACTACTAATTGTGTACTGTTGGTTTACCTGTTGCTTTGAATCTTGTTTAGGCATTGGCTTCACTTCTTACAGAAAGGAATGCATAACTCAAGAATTACAAGTGAAATGGGACAAAGATTAAGGTAAGGATGGACATCTTTGAGTTCACAGTACAGTAACGTACTTTCCTGGAACTGTCCTTTCCAGGACTGAAACAGAGAGTAGGTAAAAGTCTTCAAAGTGCTCCGACTCCGACTACTTTGGCACCTAGATATCATTCACAGAAGAAATTCACAGCACTACCACAAAGAGGATGAAATCTCCTCACTAAAACACAAAGATTTGAAAATTTTAACCAGTGATACATTAGCGTAAGAGAAGCATAATTCCCTTCAGTGATTTCGAGTTCAGTTCTAGTGCAGTCATTGCCAAGGCAGTGTCAGGACAAGGCAGTAATGCAATACTATCCTTAACAAAAAAACCCAAGCAATCACTGTCAACGGAACAATACTTAGATCTGCCTACATTCATAATTAGTAGTGATAACTAATAATTTCTGTGTTGAAGAATCCCAATTCTCAGAATAATATTCATTACACTGTAAAAATTCTGCTCTGTAAAGGTTCATTCTCCATACTGTATCTCTGCTCTTAGCTCTGTGGAGAGGTAATTTATCAGCACTGATAACAACTTCTCCTGGAGGCCAGCATTTCCCATTACAAGAGCTGTCAGCTGCGCAATATCAGTCCAGTCTAAGTGGTTGAGAATAACAATGGCTTTATCATAGAGTTTTTGCTTCTCAGCAGGAGGCAATTCCAATAAAATCTGAGGGACTGGCTTGAACTTTCCAGCAGTCATCCAGGCACCAATCAATCCACCACATGCTCCTCCTAGAAAAGAGAGAGAGATGTTACTCTTTAGCAGTTACTGTTGGAACCTGAAATTCTCTCCACAGCCTTCATCAACAATGTTCCCACCTTTATTAGATATCAGTGCAGAGTTGCATTTGTGTCTACTTTAACCGGGTTCATAGATGATGTTCAAAGCACCAAGAAGGATTTTTAGAGCTTTTTACATCCACAGCAATCACAAAGGAGCTCTTTACGCAATCAAAGCTGATAGCTTCAAGCTAGAAATCAGAAACAAAGCAACACTCCTTGATGCAAGAGATACAGAGGAGAGACAACTCTTTTCTGATAGACTCTGGCCTTCCTGTAATTTTCCATACATGGAAAGAAAGCAAAGTGACAGGGCGTAACGAATTCCAGAGACAAAGATCACCACAAAGTGGGTAGCGGGTACTTTTAAAATACAGAAATAAACATCATTGTTGACAAGATCATTGGGAAGACGATCCTGTCCCTCGCTAAGGCTGACTAAGCATACTTGGCCACCCTCGCTTTACACCCCACTTTTCTTTCTTCTGTGCCAGCAGGTGCCAACACCCCCCGACTGCTCCCGCCACCTCCTGTGCTCCTTCGCCCCTGCCTCACCCCCCTCCTCCTCACTCCCCCGCCGCAGCGCCGGAGCAGAGCCTGCTCCAGCGAGCTCAGAGCCTCTCCGTTTGCTCTCGGTTTCGTCCCACGCCTCGGACACTGGTGTACCTCAGCGGATGGAACCAGCGCTCTGCCCACCAAAAGCAAGCGACTGCTTAACAGCTTGCTCCAAGGGTTCCAAAGGTGCCACCAGCTCAAGCTCAGACCTCTGGGTGGCTTCCCGTTCACTGCCCAGGAGTCTGAGTCAGCGAGGTCACCATCACCCTAGAAGGAAACGCTGACACACGCCTTCCTGATGCACAGCTCCTTGCTAGAAACCCGACAGACAACATGGCATCTTGTTAAAGCCCAGTTACGTGGGATCTCAGCGCTGCACGCCCCTTTCCTTCAACCCATACCTACCACAGCCCTCCTAGTCTCTTCACTCAGGCAGTTAACCACACTTCTTGCTCCAACAGAAAAACCACACTCACCTACAGCAATTCCAGGTGGACCTCCCATCAGCCCCCCAAGAAATGCTGTTGCACCTGCCAGCAGTGCTCCTTGAGCAGAATTTTTTACAGCAGCTTTCATCCCCTTCTCCTCCGAGAGGTGGGACAACAGTTCCAACACCTCATCAACATTGACGGGCATCTTGGAGATCCTGGAAAAGACGTTTTAAGTTGTCTTGTGATTGTTGCAACAGGGACTAAGCAGCATTCAGAAGACTGTGCGACTAAAAGCACAGAGGCACAGTCGAGTCAGGAAAAAAAAAAATAATTTTCACTTTCATTTCTGGGAAATCCACACCCTGTTGCACACAGCCAAATATCACTGAATCTGCAAATGAAAGCACAGAGTAGACCAGAAAAATCTGGGTTTCTGACAAATTCAGAAGACTGAACAAGGACAAGTATCAGCAATGAGAGACTTAAGAAAGTTTCTATCTAAACCTACTGTACATTGCCTTTGGCTCGTGCAGAGCTCCAGGAAAATGACAAAGCAGAGCCTCCCTCTACTGCAACCAGCAGATGATAATGAGCTATTCTGTTAGGTATTTTCTCCTTGTCCTAATTCTTGCCACAAATCAGTTGTTTGTTTTTACAGATCAGATCTGCCCGTTTTGTTTCATGCTTAATCACTTCCATGCTGACTGCTGGGGCAGGAGGCTGTCTATAGTTAAGCAAAGAGAGCCTGAGGAAGGGAACAGCTTGCAGAATGGTTTAGATGAGAGACCTGGGCCTGAGAATAAATGGGGAGTGCTTGCGACAGGGCATCAGAAATGCAGGGATGTATGTGTACGGAGGTCAGGACAGAGAGCAGTCACGCAAGATGACTCTTGTGTATAAGGAGGCAGAGAGATGGGACCTCAGCCCCTTTACACACAGTGACAAGTCCCCAGCATGCAGCAGATACTTGCCTTCAAGCATGATCCCTGGAAGACCAAACCTGTTCCACCTCATTCACTTGATGCTGCTGCCGCCTATCTAAGCCCACTCATTTGCACACAAGCCCACAGGGAGCATGGCTACCCAACAGCTGCTGCTGCAGCCAATGCTGACAAAAACGGCAGCAGGGCATGTCTGGGTGCAGGTTCCAGCCCCCAACCCTGCAGGCACAGGAAGCCAAGCTATTGCACTGAACACAACACCGAGAAAAGGTGCATAACATGACCTAATTAAAAAACCCCAACTATTACAGGATGCCTTTTCTGCATATTAAGTATTTTTTTCCCCAGGATGCTTGTCTTGTCACAGTGGGTAAATCAGGAGGCGTAACAGAAGCAAACACATGCCTCTGAGTTGCAGGTACCAGCAAGTGTAGCAAGCAAGGAAAGAGGCTGCATGAAGAAACAGTACAGCTTCTCTAATTTAAAAAAATAGTCTAACTGAAAAAAAAAAGATTTTGCCCCTTATTTTGCACCTAACGTTTGCCTGCAGTTAAGCCAGTCACTTGAATCAAACTTTTTAGAAATGGTTACTATGGTCTACCTTTTCCAGGCACCCATCCTGCAATCTGAGATATTTGCAAAAATGCTGACTCCTCAAAATAACAAAATAAATTCAAATGCAGCTCTGTTTGTGTACAGTGTTACACAATGCCAAACACTGAAAAATCTACCTCTGGCTTTCAGTTTGGCAAAGCAAGCGGATACTTTTGACTTTAACAACTACTTTAATGATAGGAGAACAGAGATACTAAAAATATCCCCATCTCATGTTGCAAAATTAGGTTCCATACTAATGAAACAATCTGATTCAGATCAAGGAGGTCAGAAGAAAACCCATACAGTGAAATTAAGAAACTCCTTCCCCATAGCAGAGCTGAAGGAGTGTTCAGTAAATAAGGCCCAAGGCCTTAGCACTGAACACTAAGAAAAAGCTTGCTCATTCCATACAACTGCTAGAAAGCATACACATGATCTGTGTAGATCTTCAGGCTGAAACTTAAAGACAACAGCAAATATTTATGCAAGCACAGGACAATTTCTTCTGTCTGAGCTCTATCTGTATGGCAATGTTTTGTAATAAATATGGGGTCAGCACTAGAGCAAAACCAAACGCAAAGAACTAAGCAACTGAGACAGACTAAGGAACACAACTTCACAGTGTGCACAAAGATCTGACCTGATGATTAAAGAGCCCAGAAGTTCATTAACTATTTCAGTAATAGCTGGTGAATGGCCAGGGAATCAAGATACTCCTATCCGCAGAGGAGGCCTGTCTCATCACTGGTCCACACGCATAGTGTTGGCTTGAGTAGCATTTGTGCTTCTAAATCATCATTTTCTGAAAATCCTACTTTTAGAGCCCAGCTTAGTATTTAAAGTCTGCAAAGCAGATGGTCTGTCCGACTGAAGTCATGACTGGCATCAGCAGCCAGTAAAACTTTGTTTAAACATACCAGTTTTAACCCTGCTCTGCATTTATAATTTTCAGTTATTTTGCTAAGGAAGGGTTCATTCCTACTTACTGGTGTCAAGATTAAAACATGCTGGTTGCCATTCTGATCTCGGTATTTGGTACTCTTCTCTCCCAACATCTACAACTATTTATTGTAATACTATAATTATGTTGCTGACTATACATTTATTCAGACATTCAATTTTTTGAGTTTCAACTATATTAGGAGATGGTAGGAAACTCATGTAGAGAATCTGAATTCTGAAGCTGAGATGCATAAAAGAGCATTCTAATACTGTTTTGTAAGAACTGCAACCTGAGAAGCATTGCTTACTTTCGCCTTTTTTGTATTTATCAAAGCATGTGTATTTATCAAAGCGTTTAACTCATATATTTCACAAAAGAGGCAACAAATTTACCCATTCTATGAACAAGCTACTTCTAGCAACTGAGGAGCTGATTTTACAAGGTTCTTGGATGCCTAAAAATGCAGGTAAATATTCGGTGGGAATTACCTCCTTCCACTGTGATTAAAGGAAATTTGGCACTTTACCTGCCTAGGCACTCAGGATATCCTGCTTACCTGGACTGCTAAATTACAAAGTATCTGTGAAAGACTGACCTTAACTCCTTCAGCCCTTGAATTTTTTAGACCTACTCAATGTCTTTCTGATTTAGAAATCTAGAGTAGAATTTGTTTTTTTCATTTCCTAGCCACCTCCTCCATTTTGAGGACAGTATTCGAAAAAAGATACAGGTCACTTGCATCAGCTAGCTGTTATTGAAGCCAAAACAATCTGAATTTCAGTTAAGAAAGAAAAAAAAGAGCTAACACTTGAAAACACAAATAGCAGAGGTTGCTCCCCTGTAGAGTACTTGGCACAGCACACTGTAGGGGTATCTTCCAAATCCAAACTAAGCCTGAAAGATGCTTTCCCTGACTCACTACAAAAACATAAACTTCAGCTCATTAAAATTCATCAACATGTTATGTTTTAAAATTTATTGAAGTCTTTATAGCTAAAATAGGCTGAACATAAAGTGTAATTATAAAATCCTTCAAACAGCCGAAATTTAATTACACTTCAGATATTTTTTATTTATTTTCCTACGAACGCCGATTTCAGGTTTACCATTGCTGAAACAATTATATTGCCCCAATATAACTTGGAGAAAAAAGGAACCATTAGTTAACGGAGAGCTCAGTTTTAAAGCCTCTTCTCACCGTACCCAACCGATGCCCTCAAACGTCGAGGCGGCCCCGGCGGCTGGGGCGGCCTGCGCTGGGGGCGGCCAGGCCCGGGTCCCTCCGCTGCGTTCCGCTCGGCGCCGGGAGGCAGCCGCGGCCCCGCTGCCCACAGCGCCGGCCCCGCCGCCGCTGCCGGGCCCCGCTGGGATCCGCCCGGGGAGGCGGAGGGGACGGCGGGGCCCACCCGGCCGCGGCTTTCGGCCTCCCCCGGTCAGAGTCGGGGCCGAGCCCCGCCGCGGCCCTGCTTGCCCTCCTCCTCCTTCTCCTCCCGCCTCCCGGCCGCTTACCTCAGCCGGCAGCGGGCGCGGCGCCCGGCTCGCCCAGGGCTGGGCAGGAAAGCAAGAAACGCCCGCGGCGCCGAGGGCGGAGCGGAGCCCCGCGGGACCAACACCGCGCAGCCCGGCCTGGCGCGGCCGCTGCCGCTGCTGCGTGGGGAGCGCCGAGCCGAGCCGCGCCGAGCCGAGCCGAGTCGAGCCGAGCCGAGGCGCGCCGCGCCGCCCGCCCGCAGCTGCGCGCCGGCCCCGGGGGCGGGACGGCGGCGGCAGGCCTGGGGGAGCGGGCCCGGCTCCCGCCGCCGCCGGCCGCTCCAGCGGCTCCCGCGCTTGCACCACGGGGAGAACGCGTGTCCCGGAGCGGCGCGGGGTGCCGGTGTGCCGCCGCCTCCCGCCGGGCCCGCGGCGGTGCTGCAGTTACCTTAATAAAGTAGATCGAATCCTATAATATTATTTTGATTTTAGATTAGAATATGACTTTGATTTTAAAATGGAGTTATAGCAGCTATGAGAATATAAAGCACACTAAGGCCCTTAGGAATAGGGAGCTAGTACAGTGTGTGCCTTGAACACTATGAGAATCGTCATGGGCTCCGAATTAAAAAAATGGGTACTGGTTATGGATCTTGAGTTGAAACAATAGGTACCAGAAGAGACTGGTTTTGGTTTGGCAGATCAGCCAAAGAAGAAATGAGCATGCGCAGGGATGGAGTTCAATCAGTGGACGTAATGAGGAAGAGTATCGACGACCACCAGAGGACTCCCGTCCAACATAACCACGTGTGCGTTAGATACATTTGCATATGGTAATGACTTCCAGGAAAAACATGAATATGCTAATCACCACCCTACCCTCATTCTATTCAAACCAATCAGTAAAGATGACCAATGATTTCTGTAGAATAGGAATATAGGTAAGGTGAGGAAACTGAAAGCCAATCATTATTAAGGTCAAATTAAAATTTATTAATTCTGTTGATCTTATGTAACCATGACTGCTGAAAAAGTGTATAAATATGTTGTGCTTTGTACCTGTCGGTGAACACGGCTTTGGTGGAGCTATCCCCCGTGTTCCCCAGTGCTGGAATAAAGCAGTGCCTGCTTATCTGCTTTGGGTAGTTAAGTTCTATTCACGGTTGCGACCGCTAACAGCGGCACGGGGCGTAAACCCGCCGGCGCGCCCCGGGAGCCTCTGCCGCTGCTGGGCACCGGCACGGCCTGTGCGAAGGGGGTTGCAAACCTGCACAACATCTTCGGGTACACTGTTCTGGAAGGGCAACCCCCTATCCCTCCTGGGCTACCCCAGGAGGTGGAAGAAAGGGACTGCCTGCCACAGAATGCAGTTAGGTCATCCCTGGCCATAATCCGGGAGTATAATCTGAGAATGTTTCTGGGTACTTTTAATCCAAGTTTATTTCAGTCAGCTTGGTGAAGTGCAGCCTGCTAGCCTGATACAGCACCATATGTAATCAAACACGCTATGCACTGAAGCAGTGTTAAACAGCTGTGTCACATATGGCTCTGGAAATATCACACTGTTTCTTAATGCCAGTACAATCTTTGAAAAGTTACTGCCTAATGTTAAAAATGCTGTCGTTTCTCAAGAATGGATTATTAACAGAAGTTTTTGTTGTCAACTAAACCTTTACTGTGATTTCATTTCTGATTTAAGGTAAAACACCTCCCCTTGGTTCCTTGTTGAGAAGATGAAAAAGCAGGAGGAGAAAAAAGAAGGAGGAATATAACTCATTTTTTTTGTCCACTTCCTGTGGCTGCACTGGGGACTTCTTAACCTCTCCATGCTTTATATGATCGTGTAAAATAACTCTCTGTGTAACAACTCAAAATGTTACAGGTCTGCTGGTGCTCTTGATTTTTATGATTTGGACGTAAAAAGCAAATGTAATTCCTAAAATGAGCAAAGAACAAAATTGCCATGTACATTTTAAAAAGTAACCCCAAACTCCAGCTGTAAGTTGCTTTCCAAGGAGGGAAATTAAAAGCAATGAAGTCTTCCAACCATGGAAGGAGGGAATTTTTATCACTCTATACCAAACTGAATCATTACTTCACTACTCCTGTTGAAAATAAACACAGGTTATTAGGGCTACATCAGCAGGTGTTCATTAGGTCTATTTTTTTCCCATGGTAGAAGTTACTAAAATTAAAATGTAAGATAATAGTGCAAACTGTATCCTTTTAGGATGTACATGCTGCTGTAAATCATACTGCACTCTCAGAAAAATTCTGAATGTTGAAGTCAATGGGAATCCGGTTATTGCGATTAACCCAATTAAGATTTGATTCCGTACGTAGTTACCAGCCAGCATCTGACAGCACGCCTGTTATTCTCCTTGGTGAACATTAACTGATACATAACTCAGCATACCACACATTCCACCAAACATTCTGTGAGTTTGGGCTAAGTAACAGCACAAGAAGTCCTGGTTTTGGTCTCTCTGAAGCAGCGAGACCCGAAACTGGTTTTCTCCCGAGCACGTTCGGTGCCCGGCGGGCTCCATCTGCTGGCTACCCACACTGGCCATGGCCCGGGCTCCGCGCCATGCTCACCCCAACGCCAGGAGGGACAGCTCTGCTGGCTGTGTTCTCTTGCGCAGGGTGGTGTATTCTGGCTGGATCTGTCACGGTAATTCCAGTGTGTATTTGTGCACATTTCAACATCCACTCCTAACAAATAAGTAGTACCCGAGATAAAGGTTCACATGCTTTTTAAATTCTAGGAGTGGAGTGAGAGCAGTTCAAGGCAGTCCTGCTGTAAATTGGATCCTGCCAATAATCTCACTATATTCACAGCAGTATGCTGGGCTCTTACAATTACTGGCTGTCATTGCTATTCCTATAACGTAGTTCTCTTTGTCTCCTTTATCAGCATTGATTCACTAATTTTCTCTATCAGGATGTTTTACATCTTTTTCCTCTTCAGGTTACTAGGAAGTCTATGCTTTTAAAAATTGAGAGAAAAAAAATTCCCTTTCACCCCCTAAAAGCCCCAAGTCCTCTGTCAAAAGCAAGCATCAGAAATCAACCACAGCAATGGTCCATTAGCACCCTGGTTTGATGAGCCGCTTGGCAGATTTCTGCCAAGTCCTTCACTAACATTCAGCAGAACCCAAAATAACCACAAGCCAGTCCAGCATGTCATCAGCGTGCTGGGGTCACTTCATATTTTCACAGATTTTGACATACTAGGAGATAGGTCAAAGGGGCACCAGAAACTATTTCAGTAGGAGATGGACTGTTGCTATCAACAGAAGGATTCATTCTGGCTTTCAGCTTGCTCCTTACAGGGACTTGAGAAAATGCCCATCAGGAACAAGCTCGGTCTGGAGGAACTGTCCAGAAATACCTGATGCAATCATCTGGAATACCTATTACCTTCACAGGAAACCATGACAGATTTTTTTAAGATGAGGCACTTAATCTTGTTGGACAGAAAAAAGCTGTTTCTCTGAATTTTCTTCTGTACCAGAGATTCCCAGGAAAACACGAGGATTAGGCAACTGTATGTGACAGACTTAGTTTCATTGCTTCATCTAATTGTACTTTTCTTTTCTTAAAATCTTTACATTCAAAACGTAAGGTATGTGCAATTAATAGAGATCCCCTTGCCTATGTTTGCAAAGCACCTAAAAATACTCTTGAGATTTCCCTTTCGTGTCAGCGTATTTACTTGGTTATGGGAGAGGATGATTTAATTTACAATGTTACATCAAAGCAAGAAGAGGAAAAAGAAAGAAATGTCATGTGTTCCCCAAAATGCATGATGGGAGTGGTCCACAGTGAAGAAAGGAGATGGAAGATGTAACAAAGCAGGTTTCTAATCATATCCAAGTTTACGAAGGTAAGAGATTTCTCTCAGTTCCCCCAGAAGTCTGGAAACCCTATGCTGCAATGAAGAAAAGCTGCTTTTCTTATCCCTGTCTAACATCTAGGGCTCTAGACAACATACATCTCTCCCTAGATACGATAAAACCCTGGTATGCATGCTCTTATAGGGTCATGGGAATAACAGCATCTGTTCTGAAAGAGTCTGCCACTTCTGCTTCATATTATATTATAATTTGAACCTTCCCTTCTTGACAACAATATAGTTTTATAACTTCTGAGTTCCTGATAATATACTCTGGATTACCAAGAAAATGGTGAGCTTCACAAGATCAAACAAGGCACAACGTATATCGAAGGAGAAAATTAATATAAAAGTAATGTTATGGCATTTAAATCCTCAAGCAGTCACTTAGTAAGGGAAATTTTGTAACTGCAGGATGACTGTTTAAAAGAAATAGCGCTTTCTTCTGTACAATGAGAAAAGGAAACATTTCCAAAACCTAACTCCAATTTCATCCAGTAACACTCTTCACCTCTGTGCATTCAGGTGTAAGTAATATAGTAAAAATGACCAAATCACTATAGGAAGACACAATAGCAGGTTACAGAGATCCACTACAAGCAAAGCATATGCTTGATAGCAAATCTTTTCCCCATTTCCTACATTAGATATTCATCAGGGTCTGACTTCTAATTGAATGCAAATAAAGGATATAACAGGTTTTTGCATATGAAGTGAAGATATAGAACATCTGTCTCTTCACAGCCTTTCAACGTACCTTATGTGACATTAAGCAAAGAGGTTTGCCTCATCAGCTTGTAGGAAACAGTTTGAATTTGAAGAACAGTATGACTGAACTAAATCATTTCACTGCTGCTGCAAAAGATGTTGCTTTGGTCTCCCTGCACACTCTTAGGTGATAAAATGGCAAGTTGGGCAAAATCAGTTTCAATGCCAAAAAGATGGACTACTAGTGCGGAAGGTCACAAAACACTATTAATTGTCTTATATCATCTCAGTCTTGAAAGATGATCCAAAAATATAGGCTAGTGCTTTGGAATAAAGCACACATTGCTAGCTAGCACTATCTAAGCATGCTGTTAAAGATATTTAAGGCATATCCTTAACTGCAAATGGTATACCTATCTTCTGCTCTTTTAGATGCTTATTATAGTAGTCAT